GAAATTTCCTCCACGTGATGAGTGTAAGTCAATCTGCCCTATTCTCCAAATATGAACACTAGAAAGAAATAATGCACAACCACTTTATTGACAGAGATTGTTATGTATGCGCTGAAGCCAAGGCAATAATTTGTTATATAAACACAACAATTCCATAACTTTCTTTCTCATTGTTGGCATCATGGTGTTTCCTTACATAGATATTGTCTCCAAGGCCTTAGTGGTAGTAATTACCAGCCTCTGGTTGCTCAGTCTAAGTACTAAAGCTGCTGCTCCTAATTATCTCTATAATTTTTGTGGCAATGACACAACCATTTACTCTCCTAATAGCACCTTTAAATCCAATCTCAATCTCCTCCTCTCTAATCTTTCTTCTAACAATACACCCAACAACTTGTTTTATAATGCAACTACTGGCCCTGGTCCCCCAGGTGCGGCTTATGGCCTGTTTCTCTGTCGAGGCGATGTTACCATTAATGTTTGCCATGATTGTGTGGTGACTGCTAGTCAAGAGATAGTCAAGAACTGTCCCAATGAGACAGTGGCCTATATTTGGTATGATGAGTGCATGCAACGTTATGATAACAGGTCTTTTTTCGGGACTGTGGATGAATCACCTAAGGTGTCTATGTTGAATACGGAGAATATCGCAGAAAAAGATCGGTTTGCAAAGGTGGTGGGAGATACTCTGGATGAATTAGTAAATCGAGCTTCGAGCAATCGATCTTTAAATGATCAATATGTCAAGAGGTTTGCAACGGGAGATGTTAACTTCACAAGTAGTCAGAGACTATACAGCCTGGTGCAGTGCACACTAGATTTATCCGGGGCTGATTGTAAGCGGTGTCTTCAGGTGGCTATTGATAATCTGTGAATATGCTGCAACGAAAAGTAAGGTGGGAGAGTTTTGCAACCAAGTTGTAATATTAGATACGAGATATACCCATTCTATGGACTCAAAGCCACAACTCCATCACCTTCACCGACTCCTCCTCCTCCTAGTCCTCGTCCTCTTTCTCCTCCTCCAAGTTCCTTGACAAGTCCTCGAGGTAAAACTTCGAAGCACAAGCCTAAATAGGAGAATTATCGAGTACAGGCTAGAGAATTCTTCTTTCGTGGTAATAGTCGTAGGCATGGACCAACTAAATGGTATTCCCATAGCACTTACAGTTATGAATTTTCAGTTTATGGGGAAGTATGGGATCCATGGTCGGGGAGAAAATCATCCCAATTCATTGATCTCTCAGTTTGAGAAACGAGATAACATTTGATTGAGTTGGGTCGAGTGATATGAAAGTAGCTCTATGATTTTTGACTCGCAATTATTAAGCTTATGTGACAATTTATTATTGATGGTTATTGCCTTAACATTTTAGTTGAGTAATTGTTATTGTGTATGTCAATGTAATATATTTTCGATTTCACAGGTAAAGGGAAACTGTCATCAAAAACAATTATTGCCATTGTAGTCCCAGTAGGTCTGTCTATGGTTCTTTTGGCCATAGGTTTCTGCCTCCTAAGTAGGAAACCAAGGAGAAAGTACCATGTAGGAGAAGAAGAAAATGGTAAGGATAAAAGACTTCATTTTATCATGAAATTGTATTGCTTCATGCTATTACCTTTGCAGTAGTGTCATTCACAAACTTCAACAATTTTATTGTCTGGTTGTGTAATTGGGGATGAAATTACAATATTGCAGTCCTTACAATTTGATCTGGGCACAATTGAAGTTGCCACAAACAACTTCTCTTCTGATAACAAGATAGGTGAATGCGGTTTCGGTCCAGTCTACAAGGTAAGTCGTCAGAAACATCTAACTATGGTAGAAATCTGACTAATTCAAGGATTTCAAAAGCTCTAGAAGTTGAGATACATAAATGCATGAACATAGTTTAGTTAGTTAACTCAACTCACAAAGCCTTCATCCCAACTATTTCGGTTTGGGGTCGGCTACATGAATTGTGTTTCTCTACTGTGCTTTTGAATATTTTGATTAGTTGTAACTCTCATTTGCATATTGCAGGGTATCCTTGCTGATGGACAAGAAATAGCAGTGAAGAGGCTATCCAAGAGCTCTGGTCAAGGTACCACAGAATTTAAGAATGAGGTTGTTTTGGTGGCCAAACTTCAACACAAAAATCTTGTAAGGCTTTTGGGGTTCTGCCATGAAGGAGGGGAAACGATGTTAATATATGAATATGTTCCCAACCATAGCCTTGACTCCTTTCTATTCGGTTAGGCCCTCTCTAGACACACCCTTTGAAATCACCTTCTTGATTGATGCTTTCTCTGATCTTCACGAGATGAACTTAAAATTTGTGCCATCTTCGACACACGAATCCTGTGAGAATTATGCCATAAAAGTCTTAAGAAGACAGTGAAAATTGCATTAAGATCAAACACTGAAGAGCTAAGAGTATTGCAAGACTAGCAATAAACACTATACAATATTAAAAATCGAACTCATCTCGTAATATTTGTATTTTGAATGATAATTTAACTTTTTTTAATTGCGCAATTTAAAATTAAAAATGATGAGAAATGTAGATGTGGATTGATAGATTTGTTTGATATTGAGGAGTGTATTGATTGAGTTATTTTGCATTGGAAGTCATGTAGAGAAGTTGATGAGTTGATTTTTTAGGTAGGGAAATTTTTTTTAAGATGAATTTTGTACCATTAGATCAAAGTAGATGAATGTTGGATAAAACTTGACTATTGTTGTGTTTTTATAAGTTGATAATTTCACTTTGTAGCTCTAATATTAGTTAGATATAGTGTTTTTTAAGAAGTTGTACCATCTATTTTGCTTGAATTATTTCATTGCTTGTTTAAACCTAGCTCCTTGTTTTTAATTTATGAAAATAGATCGGGAAAAGCAAGGACAGTTGGATTGGTCAAAACGTTACAATATTATAGGAGGGATCGCCCGAGGAATTCTTTCTTTACATGAAGATTCTCAGCTTAGAATTATTCATCGCGACCTTAAAGCAAGCAATGTACTATTAGATGGGGATATGAATCCAAAGATTTCAGATTTTGGCATGGCGAAAACATTTGGTGTGGATTAATCTCAAGGAAAAACTAGCAGAATCGTTGGAACATAGTGAGTTTCTCAACACTCTGTCTTCTTCTTTACAATTTATCTATGTCAGCAATTAGCTATTGCTTCACCCCAATTAACGAAATGCTAAAAGAAAAAAAAATAGACAACAAAAAGGTCATTTGGATTCTTCAAAATTGCAACTTTTTTTTTTGGTAAGTAAAATTGCAACTTAAGGCTTCTATGGAGATTCAATTTTTTTTTGGTTCAATTATACAAGGTGTTCAGGCTAGCTTACATATATCTTTACTGATCTTTTCTCTGGTCTGGTCAAAGGCAAGTCATTCATGCCAGAATTAGGATATTGTTGATGAATAATTCTTTCATGGCCTGATCCCAAGAAATTGTCAAAATTCGAACTCGAGAAGTTTAGTTTTTCTTTACTCAATATGATTGCTTACAGAGATATTAACACTATTTTAAATTTTAAGTGTGAGTGGATGTAGTTATCCTATGTTCAAAAAAAAAAAATTATACTGGTCCGTGTGTGTTCCAAGATGACTTTGGTTGTGAGCTTAGTTTCTTCCTTCTTTGGGCCTGACCATAAGTTGGGTGAGGCGTCAGGGCCTCGCCGGGTAAGGGTTGGGGCTATCCCACATCGGATGGCTTTAAGGTGTGTGTTGTGTTTAAATGGATGTTATGGCCCTCAAACTTTTAAGTGTGAGTGGTTGTAGTTATCCAATGTTTAAAAAAAAAGTGACTTGTTGTCTTTCAACCTTCATTATTTAGTTCCATTTTTTTGTGGGTCTATCTCTTATTTATTGGGTCTCCTTCATCTTTTTTGGTAGCCTTAGAAAGAACATGTTGCATAATTAATTTTTTTTGAGTAGATATTTCTTTATATTTTTTGTTATAAAATTAGCAACAAAGTATACAAATAAATATATGGTTCTTGCTTCCAGTGGTCATATGGCTCTAGAATATGCAATGCATGGATAGTTCTCTGTGAAATCCGATGTGTTTAGTTTCAGTGTATTGGTACTGGAGATTATAAGTGGCAAGAAAAACAATAATTTCTATCAATCAAATGGAGCCGAGGACCTTATGAGTTACGTGAGTGTAAACCAAATACCCAAAGACGCGTTATTTTTAAGTCAAAATCAATGACGAACTACTCCAAAATCGTTAACATCAATGAAAATATGTTTGTAGGCTTGGCAACATTGGAGGGGTGGAACATCCTTGGAGTTGGTGGATCCAATTCTGGCAGATTCTTACTCAAGAAATGAAGTCATTAGATGCATACATATTGGTTTATTGTGTGTACAAGAAGATGTAGATGACAGGCCCACCATGGCATCAGTGGTGATCATGCTCAGCAGCTACTCTGCTACCCTACCGATGCCTCGAGCACCTCCATTCTTCTTCCGTAGCAGAACTGAAGCAAGTACATCAACAAAGGGGCCGGAGTCTGATCAGTCCACAAGCAAGTCAATGCAATGGTCTGTGAATGAAGTTTCCATTATTGAGCTATACCCTCGATAATAAGGATAGTTGAGCACATGAGACTAAACTCCCACTAGTTTTGGATTGTTAGATGAGATATACCCTAAGATAGTATGGGAAAACAATGAATATTTTTATCCTATTATGTAATTTGAGTTAAACAAGTTTTAGCATCTTTATATACTCTATTAATGGAAGTTGTGGAATTGAGCTATCAACAGTGAGGTTATGGATTTGAATTGTAAGTAATAATTTTGTACAAACAATGACAAAGTTTATGTTTTTATTTGATTTACTCCTCCCAACACTCCCCTATCAAGGGGTATGTTAGTTTTTGACCCTCTTTTATTCATAAAGTTGTATGAAAAACTAAAATAGAGTTAACTATCTATTTAGTCTCGTGAATTATATTATTTGTGTTAATTTAGTCATTGAATTATGTTTTTGTGTCCGACTCAATGCGGCTATTCTATTCAAATTTACTGTTAACTTTGATTGAAATCCTCAAATGCACATCACGCGATCCCTGAACTATATTATAATATTTGACTCGTGTGATGTGAACGTGAGAGTTTATTAGCGGTGAACTTTGACAGAAAATTCACATTGACTCAGATTAAATAGTTCAGAGGCTAAATTAGTACAAAACATAATTTAGGAACTGTGTAATTGCAAGTAAATGGAGATATAATTTGTGTGGGTCAATTCATATTCGAATTAAAATATTCAATATTTGGGCAAAAAATGAAAAATCGACAACATTAGGTTAAAGAATACGAATTTAACTCAAATTGAAAGTTCTATAATATATATTGAATTTGGTTGATTTCTCGATCTGTCCAATCCATTCTAATTGAATCTGAGAAGTAAAAAGTAATTCCTATTTCAAATGCTGAACTGCTATTTTCTTTGACAAGATGTCCTTTTTTCTTTCCTGAAAAATGACTCTCCCCCTTTGTGAACACCGCATTAATCAAACCGAATAAAACAAGCGATTCAGACAAACACACATTAATCAGATTAAATGAAACATGTGGTTCAGACGAGTCCGACCGTCATCGTTGTTGCCCATATTTTCTCTTGGACTGGTTCCTCTGTTCTATGCTTGACTTGATCTTGAGTCAGGATGACTTGTATTTATGACTCAAGACAAGTAGATTTTTCTTAGCGTGTTCCAAGGTTTCAGTCTGCTCATTTTGTGGCTGTCAACAAAGCAAGACCTTCCAAAGTCAATAACACACCCATCCCTATCAAATGTCGGTGGGCTCCTCACAAAGTAGGTGGATTTAAAGAAGGGTAAAATTTTGTCAATCAACTTTATTTTTCAACAATTGTGTAATTTTGTCTTTTTGCATAGGTAACGATATTTTTTACATTACAAGGGAAAGGGAAAGGAGAATCTACCAACTTGCCACTCTATTATAGAAGGCTCCGATCATTCGGGGTAACACTTAAGTCCTAATTGTGTTGTTGAGTTGATATTTTTGTAGGAGATAGTGAGATTTATAATTATTCCAATTCACAATGACATAGTGTAATTTAGAAAAAAAAATTGTGTAGAGTTACTCTGCTCTAAATAATTTTGGACAAAATTAATAAACAAGATATCAAATTAAAATAAAAAATAATGAATTTATATTTAGTTTTAGAGGGTTTAGGATAATGAACATATAGACTTGTTATATTCATCAACTCAACTAAACATGACACAAATTCATTAAATTTGGTTTAAGCATGGTTTTATATATAGCACAAACTCCACGCACTACGAATCTTACTATGTATGATTATAAGTAAACTAACTATGATTAAAGTAAATTTTGACACTGCATGACTTAGACGAAATAAAATCTAAAAAGGTGCAACACAACATGACCTTTTATCAATTATTTTTAGGTGTACATTAATATAAATTTCTATCTTTGAGGGTGCAAATTAAGATTTTTGATCTTCAGGGGTGTACATTGATACAAATTTTTATCTTGGAGGGTGTAAATTAAAATTTTTCATCTTTGAGGTTACAAATTCAGATTCGAACGATCTTTCAGAGTATAATTTGCAATTAACCCTTAAAGAAAAGATTAAGAAAAAGGTTAACATGGGAAAAAATATTGGTCTACTAAGACTAGAATGATGTCATCGTTAGACTTGCCAATTGTGTCAGGTGAGGTGAGTTCGTACTAATAAATATTTCAGCCATATTCGATTCTTTTATTAATTTGTGTCTAATGAACCGTATTATATTGTGTTTATGTCGTGTATGAATTTTTATAACTAATATATAAGCAAGTCGTATCATGTATTTTTTTTATTAAGTTCACTCATACTCAATTTATTTATTAATCGTGTCAGATCAGATCAACTTATTTATTTAATTGGTGACTTATGTAAGACCCAAACCCTCTATTAAACACCAATTAAGCACCCAAATATTTAGCCTATTTTGGTTGTAGGGAAAGAATAAACAAAAAGCNTTAAATTTGGTTTAAGCATGGTTTTATATATAGCACAAACTCCACGCACTACGAATCTTACTATGTATGATTATAAGTAAACTAACTATGATTAAAGTAAATTTTGACACTGCATGACTTAGACGAAATAAAATCTAAAAAGGTGCAACACAACATGACCTTTTATCAATTATTTTTAGGTGTACATTAATATAAATTTCTATCTTTGAGGGTGCAAATTAAGATTTTTGATCTTCAGGGGTGCACATTAATACAAATTTTTATCTTTGAGGGTGTAAATTAAAATTTTTCATCTTTGAGGTTACAAATTCAGATTCGAACGATCTTTCAGAGTATAATTTGCAATTAACCCTTAAAGAAAAGATTAAGAAAAAGGTTAACATGGGAAAAAATATTGGTCTACTAAGACTAGAATGATGTCATCGTTAGACTTGCCAATTGTGTCAGGTGAGGTGAGTTCGTACTAATAAATATTTCAGCCATATTCGATTCTTTTATTAATTTGTGTCTAATGAACCGTATTATATTGTGTTTATGTCGTGTATGAATTTTTATAACTAATATATAAGCAAGTCGTATCATGTATTTTTTTTATTAAGTTCACTCATACTCAATTTATTTATTAATCGTGTCAGATCAGATCAACTTATTTATTTAATTGGTGACTTATGTAAGACCCAAACCCTCTATTAAACACCAATTAAGCACCCAAATATTTAGCCTATTTTGGTTGTAGGGAAAGAATAAACAAAAAGTTGGGTAAATACAGAAAGAACGTTTAGGTAATTAGAAGTATAGTGACATGTAAAATGAAGCAGACGATGCAGAACCTTTACTACTTGTGACCTTGCATAATGGCTTGTGAATTAATGTTCAATATTGCCTTTCGTTTCCCTCTTTCCTTCATTGCTTATCCATGTTTCCTCAAGATATGGGTTGTGGGCTGTAATGGTGATGGGTTTATAAAGGCGGAAATTGAGTTTCCACTATGCTGTCTTAGTCCTAGCATTAGCATGTATAAATTAGGGTCGACAACTTTTAACGCGACTCCTTAATCTAATACGTAATTGATACGAAATAATGAGTATGAATATGTCCTTAACGGGTTTAGATTACAATGAGGTTGATATATCAAACCAACTTTAAAAATATGTCATGCAATACGAATTTGACTATAAAATAAGTCATGCATGGATTAAAAGTTTCTTAACACGATACAACTTGGACACAATTCGAACCTAGTATTACATGACTGATTGTTGACCTCCAAGCATAGCAAAACATTCTTTGAATTGCCTACAAATCAATTTGGTGAACTAATACAATTGAAAATTCTTAGACCCAACAAAAAGAAATGGACTTTCACACTTCTAACCATAGATAGATGTCCAAGTGATACCTTTTCTGTGTGTCTTGTTAAAAATTTTTGATGGACTTGCTCATCCAACCATCCCATTCATTTCGTAAACTTTTTAATAAATATTTTTTAAAAAAATTTGGAGGCAAATCCTCCTATATGGACTTATTTGAAGATATGTCCGTCAAGGNTAACTTTGGTTGGATTTGTGTGTCTTGTTAAAATTTTTTGATGGACTTGCTCATCCAACCATCCCATTCATTTCGTAAACTTTTTAATAAANGTGTCTTGTTAAAAATTTTTGATGGACTTGCTCATCCAACCATCCCATTCATTTCGTAAACTTTTTAATAAATATTTTTTAAAAAAATTTGGAGGCAAATCCTCCTATATGGACTTATTTGAAGATATGTCCGTCAAGGAAACTTATTTGGTTTTAAGCTTGTTTTTTGTCAATTTTACTATTATAACCATTCCCTGTAGAAATGTTATAAACGACGTTCATGGACACAATAACCAANAGTCCGTCAAGGAAACTTGTTTGGTTTTAAGCTTGTTTTTTGTCAATTTTACTATTATAACCCTTCCCTGTAGAAATGTTATAAACGACGTTCATGGACACAATAACCAACCAAATACATCTCTTTCATAATCGCCTTCAAATCCGGCTACAATCTTTCAAGCAACAATGTNTGTCCGTCAAGGAAACTTATTTGGTTTTAAGCTTGTTTTTTGTCAATTTTACTATTATAACCATTCCCTGTAGAAATGTTATAAACGACGTTCATGGACACAATAACCAACCATATACATCTCTTTCATAATCGCCTTCAAATCCGGCTACAATCTTTCAAGCAACAATGTTTCTCTATTCGAAAAACAAGAAACCGACATTTACTAAAAACCGTTCATATTCAAATTTCAAACTCATTAAATTTCATAAAATATAATTTCAATTTACTATTCCAGTTTACTTTGAACTCTATCGACAAAATATTAATATTGAATATTAATATTTAAAAAATAACAATAGTAACATATTCAACAAAGACAGTAACATGATCACTTAAAAAAAAGTAACATGCTCACCAAAAAATAGTAACATGATCAAAAAATAATAATAATTAGGAATTTAATTTTGTTAAAGTAGGCATTAACCTTGTAACCAAAATTCAAAAGAATTCATACATTATTACTAAATTAAAGTGTTATAGATTTCGATTTTATTATTTTTTTGTTGCACAAGACAATTGAGTATCTCTTGGTTGTGTTACTGTGAAAAAAGTTCATGTTACTGTACGTGAACCGAAAAATGGAGTTCAGAATTTCGATGTCTTGATCTTTACAATTAATGTTGAATATCTTAATTCAACTGTCGATTGTGTGTTACTATTCGTCATTTTGTAAATTTATAATTTGTGAATCGTATTTTCACTAAAATCATTTGAAAGTTCATATTACTGTAAAAAAATATTGTCTTATATTTTGTAAAATTAGATGTGTTATTAAACACAAAACTTTGATGTTACTGTAAATATTAAAGTGCATGTTACATAATATACGTCTCAAGATTTGCAATTGTATATTAAAATTCACTGTAGTAACATTAGTGTCAGTATAATAACACGATTGTACTAGTAACACGACTCTTATAGTAACATTAACATTCGGTAACATGACTCTTTCCATTTTTTGAAAGTGTTGTGAAGACTTTCACAAAGAAATTTCCTTCCTATGATGATTGTAAGTCAAACAGCCCTATTCTCCAAATATGAACACTAAGAAAGAAATAATGCTCAACCACTTTATTGACAGAGATTGTTATGTATGCCCCGAAGCCAAGGCAATGATTTGCTATATAAAAATAAAATTTCCATAACTTTCTTTCTCATTGTTGGCATCATGGTGTTTCCTTACAGAGATATTGTCTCCAAGGCCTTAGTGGTAGTAATTACCAGCCTCTGGTTGCTCAGTCCAAGTGCTGAAGCTGCTCCTCCTATCTATCTCTTTCATATTTGTGGCTCCAACACAACCATTTACTTTCCTAATAGCACCTTTAAATCCAATCTCAATGTCCTCCTCTCTAATCTTTCTTCTAACAATACACCCAACAATTTGTTTTATAATGCAACTGCTGGTCGTGGTCCTCCAGGTGCGGCTTATGGCCTGTTTCTCTGTTGAGTTGATGTTACCATTAATACTTGCCATGATTGTGTGGTGAATGCCAATCAAGAGATAATCCAGAGATGTCCCAAGGAGAAAGAGGCCTATATTTGGTATGATCAGTGCATGCTACATTATGATAACAGGTCCTTTTTCGCGACCATGGATGGATCACCTAAGGTGTATATGTGGAATATGCAGAATATCACAGAAAAAGATCGGTTTACACAGGTGCTGGGAGATACGATGGATGGATTGGCAACTCGGGCTTCAAGCGATCGATCTTTAAATGATCAATATGTCAAGGGGCTTGCAACTGGAGAAGCTAACTTCACAAGACTTCAGAGACTATCCAGCCTAGTGCAGTGCACACCAGATTTATTCGGGGCTGATTGTAATCTGTGTCTTCGGATGACTATTGGTGATCTGCCAAAATGCAGCAATGGAAAGCAAGCTGGGAGAGTTTTGCAACCAAGTTGTAATATTAGATACGAGATATACCCATTCTACAAAATCAAAGCCACAGCTCCATCACCTTCACCGACACCTCCTCCTCCTAGTCCTCGTCATCTTTCGCCTCCTCCAAGTTCCGTGACAAGTCCTCGAGGTAAAACCTCGAAGCACAAGCCTAAATAGATGACTTATCGAGTACAGGCTAGAGAATTCTTCTTTCGTGGTACATATAGTAGATTGCATATCATGTTATTTTATCCCCCAAAAGGTTGGGATAAAGCTTTAATTTGTTGATTGTTTTGGGGTCTTAATAGTCGAAGGCATGGGCCAACTAAATGGTATTTCCATAGCACTTACAGTTATGAATTTTCAGTTTATGGGGAAGTATGGGATCCATAGTTGGGCAAACAATCATCCCAAATCATTGATCTCTCAGTTTGAGAAACGTGAAAACATTTTGTTGAGTTGAGTCGAGTGATATGAAGCTCTATGGTTTTTGATCCGCAGCTATTAAGCTTATGTGACAATTTATTATTGATGGTCCTTAACATTTTAGTTGAGCAATTGTTATTGTGTATGTCAATGTAATCTATTTTCGATTTCACAGGTAAAGGGAAACTCTCAACAGAAACAATTATTGCCATTGTAGTCCCAGCAGGTCTGTTTGTGGTTGTTTTGGCCATAGGTTTCTGGCTCCTAAGTAGGAAACCAAGGAGAAAGTACAATGTTGTAGAAGAAGAAAATGGTAAGGATGAAAGACATCATTTTATCATCAAATTGTATTGCTTCATGCTATTACCTTTTCAGTAGTGTCAATCACAAACTTCAACAATTTTATTGTCTGGTTGTGTAGTTGGGGATGAAATTACAATATTGTAGTCCTTACAATTTGATTTGGGCACATTGAAGTTGCCACAAACAACTTCTCTTCTGATAACAAGATAGGTGAAGGCGGGTTTGGTCCAGTCTACAAGGTAAGTATTAAGAAGCATCTAACTATGGTAAAAATCTGACTAATTCAAGGATTTCAGAAGCTCTAGAAGTTGAGATACAAAAATGCATGAACATAGTTTAATTAGTTAACTCAACTCACAAAGCCTTCATCCCAACTATTTGGGTTTGGGGTCGGCTACATGAATCGTGTTTCTATACTGTTCTTTGAATATTTTCATTAGTTGTAACTTCCATTTGCATATTGCAGGGTATCCTTGCTGATGGACAAGAAATAGCAGTGAAGAGGCTATCCAAAAGCTCTGGTCAAGGGGCTGTAGAATTTAAAAATGAGGTTGTTTTGGTGGCCAAACTTCAACATAGAAATCTTGTAAGGCTTCTGGGGTTCTACCATGAAGGAGGGGAAACGATGCTCATATATGAATATGTTCCCAACCATAGCCTTAACTGCTTTCTGTTCGGTTGGGTCCTCTCTAAAAACACCCTTTGAATTCAGCTTCTTGATTGATGATTTCTCTAATGTTCACGAGATGAACTTAAAATTTGTGACATCTTCAACACCCAAATCATGTGAAAAGTATACCATAAAAGTCTTAAGAACACAGAAAATTGCATTAAGATCAAACACTGAAGAGCTAAGAGTATTGCAAAATTAGCAATAAACACTATACAATATTAAAAATTGAACTGATCTTGTAATATTGTATTTTTAATAATAATTTGACTTTTTTAATTACGCAATTTAAAATTAAAATGAAGAGAAATGTAGATATGGATTGATAGATTTGTTTGACTTGGGGAGTGTATTTATTGAGTTGTTTTGCATTGCAAGTCATGCAGAGAAGTTGATGTATTGATTTTTTAGGGGGAAATTTTTTTTTAAGATGAATTTTATATCATTAAATCAAAGTAGATGAATGTTGGATAAATCTTGACTTTTGTTGTGTTTTTATAAGTTGATACTTTAACTTCATAGCTGTAATATTAGATAAATATAGTGTTTTTTAAGAAGTTGCACCATCTATTTTGCTTGAATTATTTCATTGCTTGTTTAAATCTCGCTCCTTGTTTTTAATTTTATGTGAATAGGTCAAGAAAAGCAAGGACAATTGGATTGGTCACAACGTTACAATATTATAGGAGGGATCGCCCGGGGAATTCTTTATTTACATGAAGATTCTCGACTTAGAATTATATATCGCGACCTCAAAGCTAGCAATGTACTCTTAGATAGGGATATGAATCCAAAGATTTCAGATTTTGGCATGGCGAAAACATTTGGTGTGGATCAATCTCAAGGAAATACTAGCAGAATCGTTGGAACGTAGTAAGTTTCTCAACACTCAGTCTTCTTCTTTAGAATTTATCTATATCAACGATCAACTATTGCTTCATCCCAATTAACCAAATGCTAAAAGAAAAAAAATAGAAAATCAAAAGGTCAATTGGATTCTTCAAAATTGCAACTTTTTTTTTTTTTGTAAGTAAAATTGCAACTTAAAGCTTCTATGGTGATTTTAATTTTGTTTTGTTTTTNCATATCAACGATCAACTATTGCTTCATCCCAATTAACCAAATGCTAAAAGAAAAAAAATAGAAAATCAAAAGGTCAATTAGATTCTTCAAAATTGCAACTTTTTTTTTTTGTAAGTAAAATTGCAACTTAAAGCTTCTATGGTGATTTTAATTTTGTTTTGTTTTTTTCAATTGTGAGAGTTTTTGGGCTAACTTACGCATATGTCAATTAATCTCCTTCCTAGTCTGGTGAATGACAAGTCATTCACGCCAAACCTAGGGTATTGATGAGGAATAATTTGTCCAAGGCCTGGCCCCAAAAAGTTGTCAAGCTTCAAACTCGAGATGTATGATTTTTCTTTACTCAATATGATTGCTTACAGAGATATAAACACTAATTCAAATTTTAAGTGACTTGTTGTCTTTGAACCTTCATAATTTAGTTGCAAAAATGGGCCTATCTCTTGTTTATTGGGTCTCCTTCATCTTTTTTGGCAGCCTTAGAAAGAACATGTTGCATAATTAATTTTTTTTTTGAGTAGATATTTCTTTTATATATTTTGTTATAAAATTAGCAATATAATATATAAATAAATATGTGGTTCTTGCTTGTAGTTGTTACATGTCTCTAGAATATGCAATGCATGGACAATTCTCTGTAAAGTCCGACGTATTTAGTTTCGGTGTATTGGTATTGGAGATTATAAGTGGCAAGAAAAATAATACTTTCTATCCATCAGACGGAGCCGAGGACCTTCTGAGCTAAGTGTAAACCAAATATCCAAAAAACACATTATTTTTAAGTCAAAATCAATGGCGAATTACTCCGAAATAGTTAACATCAATGAGAATATGTTTGTAGGCTTGGCAACATTGGAGGGGTGGGACACCCTTGGAGTTGGTGGATCCAATTTTGGCAGATTCTTATTCAAGAAATGAAGTCATTAGATGCATACATATTGGTTTACTGTGTGTACAAGAAGATGTTGATGACTGGCCCACCATGGCCTCTGTGGTGCTCATGCTCAGCAGTTACTCTGCTACCCTACTGATGCCTCGAGCACCTCCATTCTTCTTCCGTAGCAGAACTGAAGCAAATACATCAACAAAGGGGCTGGAGTTTGATCAGTCCACAAGCAAGTCAATGCAATGATCTGTGAATGAAGTTTCCATCACTGAGCTATACCCTCGATAAAAAGGATAGTTGAGCACACGAGACTAAACTCCCACTAGTTTTGGATTGTTAGGTGAGATATAACCTAAGATAGTATGGGAAAACAATGAATATTTTTATCCTAGTATGTAATTTGAGTTCAACAAGTTTCAGCATCTTTATGTACTCTATTAATGGAAGTTGTGGAATTGAGCTATCAACAATGAGCTTATGGATTTGAATTGTAAGTAATAATTTTGTACAAACAATTGCAAAGTTTATGTTTGTCTCTAATCTACTCCTCCCAACACTCCCCGATCAAGGGGTATGTTAGTTTTTGACCCTCTTTTATTCACAAAGTTGTATGAAAAATTAAAATAGAGTTAACTATCTCTTTAGTCCCGTGAATTATATTATTTGTATTAATTTAGTCCTTGAATTATATTTTTGTGTCTGACTCAATGTGACCCTTTTGTTTAAATTTTGCCATTAACTTTGACTGAAATCCTCAAGTGTACACCACACGATCCCTGAACTATAACCTAATATTTGACTCATGTGATGTGCATTTGAGGTTTCCGTCAAAATTAACGGTGAACTTTGATAGAAAGGCTACATTGACTCAGATTTAATAGTTCAGATGCTAAATAAGCACGAAACACAGTTTAGGAACTTGATTGATACAAATAATATAGTTTCAGAGTCAAATGAAATTGCAAATTTAATGTAATATGACATTGGCAACTGCGAAAGATATTTCTTCTAGGGTCTGTTTGTTTAGCAGGAGAATAGTAGAAAACGCAAGAAAAAGAAAATTTTTAAAATTTTTATGTGTTTGGTTAACATGAAATAGAAAATGATGAAAAAAATAATGCTTGAATTTTCTCACAAACTAACTAACTTTTTTTTTTTTTTTTGTGAAAAACACAAGGAAATGGAAGAAAATTTTGGTCTATAACTAACTTCTCATTTTACCTTTATTTTTCTTAAAATATTTTATCGGTTATTAATTTTAAAAAATATTGGTTTTGGTTTGATTAACCATATAATTTGGTCAAAAGACTTTTGTGTTGGTGTTTGTCCTCAAATTAGATTACGAGTCACTTTTTTTAAATAAAAATTTATCTTTTAGTTATAATACATATTTTTTTTCTTCTTTAGACCGATTTAATATAATTAAGGATAATTTAGACAATTAGAAAAATTTTCTTGTAACATTACTTTCTTTCAAACAATATAATAAAATTTTTTTAAAACTCTTGTAATGAAGATATATGCAAGAAAATATATTTTATATTATTTTTTTCTTTTATTTTATTTT